GCAATGCCTTCAGAGACCAAAAAAGGGCATCGGATCCTCTGGAACTGGAGGTTCCATTGGTTATTAGCTGCCATGTGGATACTACACACTAAATCTGGGTCCTCTGCAAGAACAGCCAGTGCTTAACTGCTGGGCCATCTCTCCAGCCCCCCATTTTAATCCTCTTAATTACTCTCTGGTGTTTTCTTTATCAATATGCTTTTATTACTACATTAATGCAAAGATGATGAAAGTTTCCAGGAGCCAGGCATGGTGACTCACTCCTATAATCCAGCACTCCAGAGACTGAAGCAGGATTACTGTAAATTCCAGGCCAACTTGGGCTACATAGTATCAGAGTACAGGGCTGCATGGCAAAACCTTGTCTCTAAATAAATCTGAGGATATGTAAACTTTATATTTTTAATGTTTTATATAACAATAGCCACATTTACATTTACACAAACCATTTGAATCTTTATGACAAAGTCTGAAATCAATATTACAAAAATTAAAGAGGCTAATCAGGGAAGGATTGAATTATAAAAGTTTAGCATTGAGAAGGACCTTAGAAGTAGGGCATGGTGGCTCACACCTGTAATTTCAGCACTTAGAGGCTGAAGCAGGAGGATTGCCAAGAGTTCAAGGCCTGCCTGGGCTACATAGTGCATTCCAGGACAGCCTGGAATTTGTGAGACCCTGTCTCAAGAAGAAAAAGGAGGGAGTGGGAGGGAGAGAAAAAAGGAATGGAGGTTAGAAAGTGATGTAGCAAAAGGCTGGGACGGAAGTTGGGTGTTTTTTTTTTTTTTAATTTTATGTGTATGATGAGTGTATTGCCTGCATGTGTGTAAGTGCACCCATGTCGTGCAATATCCTCGGAGATCAGAAGGCTTAGGATCCCCTAGAACTGGAGTTACGGACAGTTGTTAGCTGTCATGTGGGTACTGAGAATTGAACCTGGATCCTCTACAGGAGCCAGTGCTCTTAATTGTTGAGCCATCTCTCCCACTCCTGAACGTAGGTTTTATGCTTTCAGAATGCTTTGTCCCAAAGCATCCTACTTAGGATAGGAAGCAAACTGGTTTGGCCAGGTATGGTGGTATAAACCTGTAATTCCAGCATTTACAAAGCTGAGGTAAGTCAGGCATGGTGGCACACACCTTTAATACCAGCACACTGGGTGGCAGAGGCAAGCAGATCTCTGTGAGATTGAGGCCAGCCTGGCCTACATAATGAGTTCCAGACCAGCTGGGGCTACAGGAAGACCATGTTTAAAAAGAAAAAGAGACTGGAGAGATGGCTCAGCAGTTAAGAGCACTGGCTGTTCTTGCAGAGGACCTGGGTTTGATTCCCAGCACCCACGTGGTGGCTAACAACTGTAACTCTAGTTCCAGGGGAATCTGATGCCCTCTTCTGACTTCCTCAAGCATTGCATGACATGGGTGCACTTACACACATACAGGTAATACACTCATACACATAAAAAAAATTTTAAAAATTCAATAGGTTGAGGTGGGAGAATTGCAAATTGAAGGCCATCTGAGCTACATAGATACATATCCTGTCAAAAGAAAACAGTAGGTTTTGACCAAGTTTGCAAGTCTGTGCTCTATCATGAGAGGAAAAAATAAGTACCTGGTCTGGTGCTTGAGGCAGAAGTCAGATGTGTGTTCAGGAGGTAAAGGATGAAAGTGGTAGAGTGATTTGAAACTTTTTTTTCCATTTAAATGTGATTTCTCTCATTTAAACTCTATATTAAATTGGGTATTGTGTCCCACATCTGTAATCTTAGCCCTTTGGAGGCAAAGGTAGGAGGATCAGAAGTTCAAGGTCATCCTCAACTACACAGCAAGTTCAAGGACAGCCTAGGCTACAGGAGACCCTATGTCAAAACAACAAACTAACTTTGCATTTTATTCAACTCATTAAATCTCTTACCCTGTGTCATACTTAATGTGTATCTTATCCAGTTATACCTCAAGTCAACCGTAACGGCAAAGACCAGACTGGAGTTATTTGTATATTCCACTGTGTTCAGCATAAGATATATATTAAGATATATATTTTTTCTCATTTAGCATGTGTATATAAATAGATTTGGGCAGCCAGTGAGATGGCTTAGCAGGTAAAAGCACTTGCCACAAAAGCTTAAGGATCTCAGTTTGATCCCAAGAACCCAGTGTAGGAGAGAACCGACTCCCAAAAGTTGTCCTCTGATCAACAAATTCATGATGTGGCATGCACACACCAGCACTCACATACATAACACACACACACACACACACGCACACACACATAATATCAATAATAAATGAAAAAGTAGATTTGGCTGAAATTGCTGGTACATGCTGACAGATCTGAATGAAACAATTCCAAAAGAGGGAAGGGGTTTCTAGACTTATCCTACACACCCTTCCCCATCTTCACTCCAGTCTATTGGGTTCTATGTGGAGAAAAGAAGTCCAGGGTGGGAATGTAACACAGTGATAGAGTACTTGCCTAACATGCTTGAGGCCCTTGGTTCAGTACCCAGCACTGAAAGAAAGGGGTAGGGGGCAGATGAACTACTACATTCAAACTTCCCTTTGCACAATCCGAAGTCTCGGCCACTTTTCCTGTCATTGACTCTTCAAGTTCCTGGCTTTGTGTCATTTAGCCTGGCATTTCTAATGGAGAATACAATGGGACCTGCCCACTCGATTCAGCTGAGAAATGTACCCATTTAAAGTTTGGGAGAGAAAATAGTGTCTACTGATTGTCTATTAAGTTAATCCCTGTTCAAGGAGCTAAGGATACAGCAATAGACTACAGAGGAAATTCTTACTTTCTTTGTTTTTAAATTTTGCAGAGGTGGAGAGGAAGCAGACAATAAAGATGTGAATTGAGTGAAAACATTGCAGGCTGATAAACAGGCAGAGCCAGCAGCTGGCAAAAAGGAGAGGTGACCAGCACTTACTGGCAAGCCTGAGGACCTAAGGTCAAGCCCCAGAACGCACAGTGCTGGAAGGAGAGAATGCAAAGTGGTCCACTGACCCTCAGCGCGCACACACACACACACACACCACAACACAACACACAAATCAAGTTAAAAGAAACCAGGCCAGAGCTAGGAGTGGTAGCACACACCTTTAATCCCAGCCTTGGGAGGCAGAGGCAGGTGGATCTCTCTGAGTTCTAGGACAATCTGGTCTACATACTGAGCTCTAAGCCAGTCAGGGCTAAATGGTGAGATCCTGTCTCAAAAAACACAGGGAGGAAGGGGAGAGGGAGGGGGAGGGAGTACTGAAGAGCTAGCTTAGTGCTTAAGAGCACTGGCTGCTCTTGCAGGGGACCTGGGTTTTTTCCACCACCCACATGGTGGCGGAAACAGTCACCCCATAACTCCATTTCCAGGGAATCTGATGCCTCTTCTGGCCTTCATAGGCCATGATACACTTACATACATGTAAGCAAAACACATATACACATAAAAAACAAATAATTTTTGAAAAAGAGCACTTACTGTTCTTGTAGAGGACCTGGGATCAGCTCCCAGCACCCACTTGGGGTCTTACAACTCCAGTTCTAGGGGATCTGATGCCCTCTTCTGACCTCTGAAGCACTGGGCACGTACATTATGTACATATATACAGGTAGGCAAACATTCATATAAAATAAAAATAAATCAGGCTGGGCATGGCATCCTATTACCTTTAATCTGAGCACTAAAGAGGCTGCCTGTGAGAATGAGGCCAGCTTGGGGTGGCCTTCATAGTGAGTTCCAGGCTAGCTGGGGCTACATAGTAAGACCCTGTTTCAAAAAACTAATAAATAAACCAGATAGAAGATTACAAGCCAGGGTTGTTTGTTGTTAGTGTTTTTGTTTTTTGGTTTTTTGTTTGTTTGTTTGTTTTTTTGTCTTTTTGAGACAGGGTCTCCTTGTAGCCCCAGCTGTCCTGGAAATAACTATGTAGACCAGGCTGGCCTCGAACTCACAAAGATCTGCCTGCCTCTGCCTCCCAAGTGCTGGGATTAAAGGCGTGCGCCACCACGCCCAGCCAGTTAGTGTATTTTTTATAATCTTTATTTTTATGTGAAAAGGTGGAGGTCAGAAGACAACACATGAGAGAATTAATTCTGTCCTTCAACCATGTAGATCCCTGGGATTGAAACTGGGTGGTCAGACTTGGCAGCAAGTACCTTTACCCACCGAGCCATATTGTGGAGCCATTTGGTTGTTTGAGATAAGGACTCCATAGTCGCCCAAGATTGGCCTCAAACTTTGCAATCTTTCTGCTTCTGCCTCACAAATGTGTGCTACCACAAGGGGTTTAGCTTCAGTTTGAGCTGGGCACTATAATCCCAACACTCCGGAGATGGAGGCAGTAGGATTAGGAGTTCAAGATCAGCCTCGACTACCTGAGACTGAAAACAAAACCTCCAGTTTAAAGAGTCCAAACCAGCTGGAGAGACGGCTCAGCGGTTAAGAGCACTAACTGCTCTTGCAGATGACCTGGGTTTGGTTCCTAACATCCACATAGTAGCTACCAACCATCAGTGACTCCAGTTGCATGGGATTCGACGCCTTCTTCTGACCTCAGGAGGCATTGCATACATACATACATTCAGGCAATACACTCATAAAATAAAATTAATAATAAATTAGTAGAATATTTTTTGATGATTCCAAACCACAGGGAAAGTAAACAAACAAAACAAAAGCAAACAATTCAGTTGGGCTTGGTGGGTCAAGCCTATAATTCCAATATTTAGGAAGTGGGAGACGGGAGGATCCTGAGTTCGAGACCAGCCTGGGTTACATTAGCTAGCTCAAGGCCGGCTGGCCCTATCTTTGAAAACCCAACGGCTGTGGCTGTAGTTCAGTGGTGGAGCCTAGTTTGTGCAAGGACCCACGTTAGATCCCCAGCACCGCAAAACAAAAACAAAACCACAGCTCCCTGTCCCTTTAAAAATGGCGGTCCCGCAGATCGAACGATCCCATTGGCTGCCAGAGGCACAGGGGGCGGGACCCGCCGGGGCTCCTGTAGTCCCGCCTCCTATAGCAAGTCGGAGGCAGCAAGATGGCGGCCGCGGAGGAAGGCTGTGATGTTGGAGTCGATGCGGACCGGGAGCTGGAGGAGCTTCTGGAAAGTAAGAGCCGGTGGTGGGAGAGGCCGCAGGGCACGGGGGTGCCTGGATTCGGGGGTCAGCAAAGCAGGAGAGTTCGGGCCGCAGGGGGTTGGCGGGGGCGAAGGTCTGGCTGCGACCCCGAAGGAAATCTCGGGGTCACCTAGTCGCTCGTCGGTAGCTGGGGTGTTCACCTCGGTCCGGTGATCCGCACAGACATCTAACCTCTCCGTGGAGGGGAAACGTCACTAATGAGGTGTTCCACGGTTCCCCTGCAAACTTCCCTTGCTTTAGACTAGTAAAATGTGTGTTTTGCCGCAGAATCTCAATTCTGTAGCCCAGGCAGGCCTCGAACTCACGGCAGTCTTGCTGCCTCAGCCTCCGAATGCTGGATTTACAGGCGTGAGCCGCTACGACTGGCTTTATAATTACCAAATTCTTGAACCCTCACCTCCTGCCAGCAGCAGAAATCACAGAACCCTTTAAGCTTCAAGGAGCCTTTCTGACACTCTTGCCCCAGTTTTTTAGCAGACCCGTAGTTCTTTCATATTAGTAGTTCAAGGAGACTCCTTTTCCATTATTGTTGTCTTGAGAAACTGTCCCATGTAGTCCAGGCTGGCCTCAAACTTACTATGTACTGGAAGATGACCTTTAACTCCTGATTTTCCAGCCTCTGCCTCCCAAGTGCTGGCGTTACCAGCACTACACCACCATACCTGATGCCCTTTTTCATTATTTTTGGAAACTTAAGAGTGAAACAGTCCCAGGGGAAAACATTTCAGCCTCCTGAAAAGATAATGGATGTTCTTTTCTTAACTTTTATTTGGTTTCCTGCCCAGAATGAAGCCAGTGCCCTTTTCCTAGGCCTGGCAAGCAGAATGGTGGTGACAACACAGGCTTTTCAGGGCAGAGGTGAACTTTTTATCTGTTTTTCAGTCACAACCATGTGGGCAGAAAATGAACAGAAATCGTGAGAAATGTCAGGTGACTCTGAATTGCCCCTGGGTTACCTGCAGATGAGGCCAGCAGGAGCTGTAGGAGCCTGCTGACAGAACCAAATTGGAGAAGAGTTTACTACCCTCCAGTAGAAGGTCATGGTGTGGTGTTTACTTTGTACTCTTAGCAGGAGCAGTAGACAGTTGGGTAGAGTATCTGGGGCTCTTTTACCAGAAGTTATTCCCTTTGAGGCTCCAGTGAGTTAAAAGAGATGAGGCTATGTCACATTAGGCATTTGCTGTGATTCCTAGGGAAATTTTAGAGTGAATATAAAGATTTCTCTGCAGAACTTCTTTAATCCTCTCCTCCCACTTCCTGAGATAACACTGGTTCCTTCCCAGTTGGCCACAATAAATCAGGTGATCAGGGATCTGGGAAGCCTTTGGATCAGTGGACCACACAGGAGAGACTCCAAGGAAAAAGAAAGAAAAACTGAGGAAAGCTGGCACTTTATAAGATCGTTTTTCTAATATTTTGCTTAGAAGTCACACAGATTTCCAGCCATATCCGTCCCCAATATACACACCATGTCTCTTGTCTCTGAAGGTGCTCTTGATGATTTCGATAAAGCCAAACCCTCCCCAGCACCCCCTCCTACCACCTCGGCCCCTGATGCTTCAGGGCCCCAGAAGAGATCGCCAGGAGACACTGCCAAAGTATAAATTCCATCCCCTGAAGGGAGAGGGAGGGGATGGGCATGCAGCTTTAAGCAGTGGTGGGGCAGGCCCCTGTGGGCCAGAGGGGTGGGTGGGAGGGTACCTTTGCCTCATGCTGCTGAGTGCTCTTTGCTGAGTGCTCTTGCACCTCAGTCCCTGTGAAACAAAGACCTGGGGTTGTATGGAGGGGTAGTAAGGAAGTTCTTTGAGAAAAGAGCAGTTTTAAATGGTTGGATTCATATGCCACCTCATATTCTTCCCTCAGTGACCAGGTGTTTTTCTTGTTGCCCTCATAAGGAGAGGTAGATAGAATGTTCAATGGAGATGGGGGAGATGTTGCATTTCCCAGAACGAATGCCTGAGCTTCTGTCAAAGTCCAGAAACAGTGTGGTGCCCATAAGAGATTGTTTTTGTCCACCTCTCCCCTGCAGGATGCCCTCTTCGCCTCCCAAGAGAAATTTTTTCAGGAACTATTCGACAGTGAGCTGGCTTCCCAAGCCACTGCGGAGTTTGAGAGGGCAATGAAGGAGTTGGCTGAGGAAGAGCCCCACCTGGTGGAGCAGTTCCAGAAGCTCTCAGAGGCTGCTGGGAGAGTGGGTGAGGAAACCCCAAATACTAGACAAACCTCTTAAGTCTTGCTTGCTTAAGAATACCAGGGTTGTCAGTAAAATTGATAAAAATCACTATGTCGCAGCCATGGAGTGGGCAAGGCAGTAGGAATAGGTATGGGAATTCTGCTTAATGAAAGAAAAGGTTAAGATGAGTTGGAATGTAGTAGAAAAGATTATCCAAAACCGACCATTTTAAAGGGTGTTGTGTCATTGTGGAGAATAAACTGACGCACTGTCTGTGTAGATTTATAGTGTGACTATGGAGGTAACCACAGAGCAGTCAAAGACTTGAATAATTTGTTAGTAAATGCTTCATATCCAAGGTAACCACATCAGTCTAGACAAGTTGACAGTTAAAATCCTAGGTAATCCTGGTTCTTTTGATCCCTCCTAGGCAGTGATGCAAACTCCCAACAAGAATTCACTTCTTGCCTAAAGGAGACGTTAAGTGGGCTAGCCAAAAATGCTACTGACCTTCAGGTAAACGGGAAGGGGTAGGGACCACAAAGAGCCCATTCCCAGATGCTTTCTTAACAGTCTCAAAAGATAGATGCCCTTGGGTAGCCTTCAAATCTGTCCCTCCCTGCCTTGGTACTTGTTACAGGCACATTTAGATAGTTCTTGCCATCTGAAAGGGTGGTAAGCTTCCCAGGAAGGGAGTATACCTATTCACTTATCTTTCGTCCTGTCTAGAACTCGGGCATGTCAGAGGAGGAGCTGACCAAGGCCATGGAGGGGCTGGGCATGGATGAAGGGGATGGGGAAGGGAACATCCTCCCCATCATGCAGAGTATCATGCAGAACCTACTGTCCAAGGATGTACTGTACCCATCCCTGAAGGAGATCACAGAGAAGGTTTGTGAATTTCCATTTCTGCCTTTTCTCCTCACTTGCCTTTATATCAACCCATATGGGCCACCTGGCTCAGAATTTGCAGAGAAAGAGTAATTTGAGTGTACAGGTCTCTTTTTTGTTGGTGGGAGAGGTCTTTGAGAGAAGAAAGCTACATAGGTGATCTGATCAGTTGTCCAAACTGAGAATGTCTGGGATAGAAAGGAAAATTTTTCAGCTTGACTATGAGGTTGTCTGATCAACTCCTTCCTGTGTGTCTGACTTCATTAATTTCTTCAACAAGGATTTACAGGATTTAGTACTCTTAATATTATGAACAGTTAAGAACAGTTTAAGGGTGTAGAGAGATGGCTCAGTGGTTAAAAGCATGCACTGCTCTTGAAGAGGACCTGAGTTCAGTTCCTAGCACCTCCAGTGGGCAGCTCACAACTGCCTATAATTCCAGTTTCCACAGATACCTGTACTCATGTGTACATACACAGAAATACACATAATTCAAAAGAAAATAATCGTTTTTAAAAAAGAATAATTTAAATGATGGTCCCTTCTCTCAAAGAGCATATAGTTTTTTAAAAGAATTTTTTTTAAATTTTTATTGATTTATTTTTAGTTTATGTGTATTAATGTTATGCCTGCATGTATGTAAGTGCACCTATGTCGTGTAGTACCCACAGACTGACAGAGCATCAGATCCTCTGGAACTGGAGTTACGGACAGTTATTAGCCATCATGGGGTGCTGGGAATTGAACCCTGGTCTTCTGCAAGAACAGCCAGTGCTCTTAACCACTAAGCTGTTTCTCCAGCTCCTTATTACAGTCCCTTATTATTTTTATTTTACCTGTATGAGTATTTTGCCTGCATATATTTAAGTGTACCTGTGTTGTACAATGCCTACGGAGACCAGAAGAGGGTATCAGATCCCCTGGAACTGGAATTAAGGACAGTTGTTAGCCACCATGAGGGTGCTGGAAATTGAACCTAGGTCTTCTGGAAGAACAGCAAGTGTTCTTAACTGCTGAGCTATCTCTCCAGCTCCCAAAGAGCATATAGTTTTACTGGAGAAATGAAATAAGAATAGAAGCTCTTATTAGATAACATGTGACTAAGGGTAAATGAATAACAAAGCTAGGAACCTGCAGACCAGTGTTTGTATGGTCCAATTCTCAAGCTAAGAATAGTTTTTACATTTCTAAAGGTTAAAAACAGCAGAGCCGGGTGTGGTGGTGCACACCTTTAATCCTAGCACTTGGGAGGTAGAGGCAGGCAGATCTCTGAGTTCAAGGCCAGCCTGGTCTACATAGTGAGTTCCAGGCCAGGTGGGGCTACTTGGAGACCTTTTCTCAAAAAGACCAAAAAAAAAAAAGAAGAAAACAAGAAGAATATACAACAGAGAGGAGCATGTTGGATCCTCAGAGCCTGAAGTAAGTACTTTCTTGCTCTTCACAGAAATTACTTAAGGGTCTCTAGTTATCATAGATACTAGCACCTCCAGATGATCGTTGGAGTCAGCACTACTTACTACATGAACTTGCTTATGTAGCCTTTCTCCTTTGTCTTCTTCCCTTCACAGTTTCAAATCTTGACTCTCCTTTCCCTTTCCTCATTGTTCGCTTAGTCTTTCCCACACGTTCTCTTCTTTCCTCAGTATCCAGAATGGTTGCAGAGTCACCAGGAATCTATTCCTCCGGAGCAATTTGAAAAATATCAGGAGCAACACAGCATCATGGGCAGAATCTGTGAGCAATTTGAGGCAGAGATGCCCACAGACAGTGAGGCTACTCAGAAGGCTCGTTTTGAGATGGTGCTAGATCTCATGCAGCAGGTAAGGCTTCCTCTCACTGCCTTCCCGCTGGTGCTCTCCACTTGGGCATTAAATGAAGAAGTTATTTGGGAAGGGTGCTCACTACCAAGCCTGGGTGGAGGAGGGAATAGGAGAGGCCAGGTACCATGGTCAGAAGAATCAGATCACTGACCAGATTCTTTTTCTTGCTTCTTGTATTTTCTGTGATGTTTTGTTTTGTTTTTTAGTCTCATTCTTTTTATTTTTCAGCTACAGGATTTGGGCCATCCTCCAAAAGAGTTGGCTGGGGAGATGGTGAGTATGTCCTCTACATTTTAACCCAATTTGCAGAATCCGCTAAACCCCAGTTAATCCACGTACGGTGATAATTGTGGCTGGATGGGGCTTCAAAAGCTCTGACCTGAAATATAAGTGGTTGTCTCAGTCCCTTCATCTCTTCTGCAGCCTCCTGGCCTCAACATTGACCTGGATGCCCTCAATCTTTCGGGCCCATCAGGTGCCAATGGCGAACAGTGTCTGATCATGTGAAACAACACATTTTCCTCCCTGGATTCCAGCCATGGGGAACATTTGGAGTCAGCAGAACCATCAGAAACCGAGGCAGAAGTATCGTCTCTGGACCTGGCTCCCCACCACCCTCTGACATCTGGTTCAAGACGTGCCATACCAGCTGAGGTTTTTACTCTTTCTAGGAACAGGATCTGTTTTGTAGGCTCTTTCTGTGAGCTTTACTGCATCGTGGTTTCTGCTGCTAGAAAAGGCCCAGCTATTTGCCAGGTGAAGGAAAGCATCCCTTTTGGGGCTTGTACCTTTTTCCCACTCCCAAAATAATGTTGTCTAGGGCCATGCTGATGTTCCCCCTTTGCTCCCAGGGACTTTGTGCCTTGTTTCTACTCCCTCTCTTGGATCTGGGGAGCAGGAGCTGAGTCCTGGGATTCTGTGCTTCTCTTGGTCCAAGCCTCTGGGAATGAGGAGAAATGTAGCCTGGGTTGGGGCTCTAAGTCTTTCATCATGCCCCCTTGCCTTCAGGCAGAGCATGAATTCTCTGAAGACAAGGGGCTTTTGCAGGTAATCACAGTAAGGTGGGAAGAGAAGCCCTGGGCTTTTCCTGTCCTTAGGTGCTGTGCCCTTGCTCCCCATTTCTTTGTGAGAATTCAGGTTGCTGCCTCGGTTCTTTTCAATTCTGTGATTTGGGTGAACCCAGCACCTGACCTTCCTTTGCTCCCTGACTATCCTCTTATCCCTCTCTTTTTAAATTCTTATTTATTCTAACCCTTTTGAACCTAAGCTGCGGTAGAGGAAGACCAATCTTGTTTCCCCTTATCTAGACTTCTACTATTCTCACTAGACCCTTCCCTTCCTTCCTGGTGAACATATAATTGTCACATCAGGTCTAGTAAATGAATGGCCATTCTACCCCAGGTTGATTCTGACCTAATAGAGATATCAGATTCCCTAGAATCCTTGGTTTAAGAAGGTGCTTGGGAAAAGGGTATATATAGACTGGGTCCTTTGTCCTACAAGCCCATGGGACAGTACCTAATAAATATTCTGCGTGAGGTGTGTGGGCTATTTTATCCAGTTCTATTTCTGATCTTCCTCATCTTCTGTTAAGCTGCAGAATGGAGAAGGTTAGGAAGTAGTTCTATAAGTTATTCTAGGCTCCATCGCTACCCAGTCCCCCAGCTCAGTCTATACCTCAGTTAGCAAAAGGAGACTGTTCTCATCTCCTTGGTATTTCAGTCTTAACTTTTTGCATTATAACTAATGTTAGTGATACATTGTTGACATGTTTTCTAAATTCCCTATCTTTGAATTGACCTCTTAGTGGGTCTAAGGGTCTTTACTGTCTTAGATTTTATGGATACACTGGTCAGCCCACTTAACTGTCCTGGTTCACTTGGAAAATAACTTTTTTTTTTTTTTTTGGTCTTTTTGAGACAGGGTCTCCTTGTAGCCCCAGCTGTCCTGGAACTCACTATGTAGACCAGGCTGGCCTTGAACTCACAAAGATCTGCCTGCCTCTGCCTCCCAAGTGCTGGGATTAAAGGCATGCACCATCACACCCGGCCCATGAAAATAACTTTTTTTAAAACATTTTTTTCTTTAAGAATTTCATACATGTATACAATGTATTTTGATCATATCCACCCCCAGAATATAACTTTTACCAGACAAATGCACATTATCTGAGTCACTTTGAGTTCATGACACATTGGTTTTCCTGGGATTAAAATCACCACCAAAGATTCCACACATTCTGTGAAAGAAAATGTTCTTGAGGACTCAGGCTGTTGGGGAATATCCAGCTACCACAGTTTATCAAAGCATGGATGACCCCAGGTCTAAACGTGAGACTCTTATATGTTTTGAGAAATGGAAAGGGTACAAGTTGATGAATATGGGGCCTGAATACGAGTATCTTCTTGACACTCCAGCCCCAAACTTGAAAAGGGTAGAAAGAGGAGACCAGAACCAGAGTGTCCTGCCCTTGGCCTCTTGTGCTTCGTGTCCTCTATTCTCATTTCTGATGGTCTGACCAAGGCCTTCTCTAGGAATCTGAAAGATGCCTTGGTCCACTGTAGTTTCATTTCCAAGACATTCTTTCATTTTTATTTTCATTGAACATGAACAAGTTGACCTTGGATCATTCTCTCTTCCAGAAACACCATTTGAATTACTTTGGGACTTGTAATTGAATAAAACTTGGTACCCTAGGGTAGTCCTCAATATGCAGTAAAGGACCAGATTTTTTTGTTTTTTAAACATCTAGTCCTTCATGTATCAATATGTGGTCCTGTTGCCCATGACTGATATGCAGTTGAAACTACTTACAAGATGCCATGTAAGTTTTGTAACATCTAAACTCTCCAGATCCCATTAACAGGTTGAGCCCATTGATCATGTAATTGAATTTCACAGCAATCACAATGCTAAAAAGGTTTTAAGCACCGAATTTCAGATTCCTCATGTCCTAAGTTGATACTTATGAAAAAATATGAAAATATAATGAAAAAAACCCAACTTTCATAGGAGTAATACTTCTCTGGGTGTTCCTTATTCTCAGTCCAAGGCAAGTGTATTTATATACTTGACGTTCTCTCCCGTATGCCACCTGTGGAGAACTTGTTGTGCAGCAAAATGTCATTGTATAGATCTAGCATTTTTGTAGCTTTTCTTTCCTGATGCTTAAAAATAATTATTGCAAAGCTTAGGTTTATATTCAGGTTGTTTCAAAGTTTATAGGAGCTGCCCCTTTGTTCTAAAGTTCTGTATGTTCAGGTAACAAATTGGTTGGATAGGTACCTTCATGAAACAAAAATCAAATTCATATAAAATTTAGATATTATTTTCCTGCAACCCTGAAACATTTTCTCAGGGCCTCATAGACTAATAATATGCCATTGAGATGGCTTTTGGAAATTTGGAGAGTAGGAATGCTCACAATTTTTTTTAAGATTTTTTTTTTTTTTGGTGTTTTTGAGACAGGGTCTCCCTGTAGCCCCAGCTGGCCTGAAAGTGGCTATGTAGACCAGGCTGGCCTTCAACTCACAGAGATCCACCTGCCTCTGCCTCCCAAGTGCTGGGATTAAAGGTGTGCGCCACCACACCCGGCTTGAGATTTGTTTTTATTTGTGTGTGTAGTTGCTTGCAAAGGCCAGGAAAAAAGTGTCAGATCCCCTGGACCTGGAATTAGAGGCACTTGTGAGCTTCCTGATATGGGTGCTGGGAACTGAACTCTAGCCCTCTGAAAGGCATCCAGCTCTTAACCACTGAGCCCTCTCTCTAGACCTTGTTCACATTAAGTAGAAATGGCAGATACAAAAATGTCCCAAAAGACTTCAGGAAGTATGCATTACCATGGATGTTATATAACACTGAGAAACTCACCAGCTGACCATATTCCTCAGGAAAGCTGCTGAAGCAGCACTTATGTCAGAAAGTAGGTGAATTTCTGTAAGAGCAGCCAGCTTAGAGTAGAGATTGCTAAGAGTACATTGGTGGTTTTAGTAGTAGGACAGATTGGGCAGCCAGAAGATTTATAAATTAAGATATCTGTATTAGTCAGGGTTCTCCAAAGAAACAGAACCTGTAGAATGAATATATATGTATAGAGATTTATCAGCTTAGCTCACAAGATAGAGTCAGAGTAGTCCAACAATGGCTGCACCACACTGAAGAGGCTGAGAGTCAGGCAGTTGCTCAGTCCACGAGGCCGGATGTCTCAGTGGTCCCAATCTGGTGCTGAAGATCTGCAATGGAATCTGAAGAAGTTGGTTCTCCTATCAGCAGACGAACATCACAGCAACAAGATGAACGCAGCAGTGAGAGAGAAGGCAGGCAGGCAAAAGCTAAGCTCCCCTCTGCCGTGGCCTTTTACTTGGGCTGCCGTCAGAAGGTAACGCCCACATTTAGGGTGGGTCTTCCAGCTTCAAATAATCTGAAAGTCTCTCTCATTTCAGTTAATTCCAGATCCAGTCAAGTTGACAACCACGATTAGCCATCACAGTCACTTTCAGAAGGAAGAGTTCCTTTGACTTACAGTTCCAGAGAAAGAGTCCATAATGGCGGGAGGGAGCTGGAGCAGAAAGCCAAGTGATCACATCCTCAAGCAGGCACAGGAAGCAGAGAGAAACTGGAGATTCAGCAAGGCTTAAGAACGCTCAAAGCCCAGCCCCTAGTGACATGCTATATATATATATATATTATATATTCAGTGATTTATCAGATTAGTTCACAGGATAGATTCTGAGTAGTCCAACAATGGCTGCATCACACTGGAGAGGCTGAGGATCCAGTTGTTGTTCAGTCCACAAGGCTGAATATCTCAGTAGTCCCAATCTAGCACTGAAGGTATGAGGAATTCCAAAAGATTGGCTCGTCTTCAGTCTATAGCAGCAAGACGAACTCACCAGCGAGAGGAAAGGCAAACAGCAAAAAGCAAGTGCTCCCTTCTGTCATGGCCTTTTATACCCGCTGCCATCAGAAGGTAACACCCACATTTAGGGTATGTCTTCCAGCTTCAGATGATCCAATCAAGAAGATCTCTCGAATTTCAGTTAATCCTAGATCCAGTCAAGTTGACACCCAGGATTAGCCATCACAATATCCAAAACTGAGAATTTCAAAGAAAATTTGCATGTTTTGCCCAGTATCTGAGCCTCAAATGTCAAATGAAAGAGCTAAATAGTTACCTACACACCCAGGAAAGAACACCCAGAGAAGCTGGAAAACATTTTGGATTATTAGGGTTTTCTAGAGGAACAGAATCCATAGAATGAATATATATACAAAATAGATTGCAATGTATAAATTAGATTGACTTGCGTGATATGGGATGGTAGTCCACAATGGCTGTTAGCATGCTGGAGAAGCTAAGAACCAGGGAGTTTGCTCAGTTCAGGAGGCTGGGCGCCTCAGCAGTCCCAATCTGATGCTGAAGTCTTAGAAGATTCCCGGAGAGCCAGTGGTCTTCAATTCACGTTGGGATGCCAAAGAAACTGATTCTGACGGCAGTAACAGTAATGGCGTAAGCACCCATACAAAGCAGAGGCAGGCAAGCAGCACTGGCAATGCTAGAAGGTGCTGTCCACTCTGGTGAGGGTCCTCTCCTCTTGGCTAATCTTCCAGGAAATGCCCTCACAGACCCGACCAGAAGTATCTCTTGGTTGATTCCAAATCCGATAAATTGACCTCAAGATTAACCATCTCACACACGTTACAGGTTTTATATACTGACATTGATGTCCATGGATCCAAAGCACCACAACAGTGTCACCTCTCCAAATATTCCCCATTTCAGGAAATAGTGGATGAAGTAGTAAGTGGAATGCTGGACCAAATCTGCCTTACAGAGAATCTACACACACCATCCTCTGGTCATTTCCCCAGTATCCACATATGTATGTTTCTTTGTATCGTCTGCCAGTGAGTGCATCCAGCATTTGGCAGACCAAGAAGAAGCTCCTGAATCTGTATTCCACCATTGCCAGGATATTAAAAAATGCATTTTCTGAGGAAAATGGAAAGGATTAATCCCCCCTTAAAGGATACATCATGTCCTCATTTAGTCTAATCTGTCTGCTGTTTGCAGACATGGTGGCTGGCTAGTAGATAGCAGTCGACAGATGCAAGCTAAAGCAAGTAATTGTCCCGAATGTACTGCTGTGTCAGATACGTTTACTGAAGAGAGTAGGTATGTGAACGAGCTAGCCCAGGGGCCAGTAGATTACAACCCATGGGTCAAATCTGGTCAAATGCCTGGTTTTTAAAAAAATTCCATTCTATTTATTTTTAGACTGTGTGTACAATGGGACAAGGGTGTGTATATGTCACAGTGCATGTGTGGAGGCCAGAGAGCAATTTTGTAGAGTCATTTCTCTTCCACCTTTACATGGGTTCCAGACATTGAACCCCAGTCACGCTTGCTCAGCAAACATCTTTACCCACTGAGCTATCACAGGTTCAATAGCCTGGATTTTAAAAAGTTTTATTGACAAGTATCCTTGATCATTTTCGTACTGTTCTGGATACTTTTGTGCCTCAGTGGCTATGTAGAGTAG